TCTTTTATTTTTAAAATTTTCTGCACTAAAGGGTGGGATGCTTCCAAAGGTTTTGTTGATAGCCATTTAAATCCTCCAGTTGGTAAATATTAAGACATTGCCCAGCTATAAAGATTATTAGCATCTAAATATAATAGCCATTTTTTCACTTTTTTTTCCATTGTACCCTTCTAATCCAGAAATATTTGCTCTAGCTATACGTCTTCTAGCTAAGGACATTCCTCCTCTTTTCATTGCAATAAAGAAGTCATGCATATCTCCTTGATACTCGTTAAATAATTCTAATTTTACCTTTGTTACCTTCATACACGCATCCTATGCAAGACCTGGTACAGTTAAATAATTTGTTGGATCTAAATTGAATGCTGAATAAGATGCTTTTCGAAATGTCTCGAATGCATCTGCTAATATAAGAATATCCGTTTTGAGGTAAATATCGTTATAATCACCAAAGGTTTTACAAGCAGTTTCTTTCCAAACTGTATGAGCAAAATCGTAATCCTTTTGAGTTATTGTGTAAATTTTCTCATATTCACATTCTTTGCTTTCACATCCTTGCTCGCAATAATTTACTCCATCCAAGTCACTATTAAAATCTTTTCGAGGAGGTAGTTGCGTTTCTTTGAATTTGTTTTTACTAGTTAACCACTGATATGGGAATATTCCTTTACGTGTAAGCAATGATAATAAATGAGGTGAGATGAATTTTGACATAATTGGAAAACATTTTGCTAATTGTTCTGGTGTTTTAGTTTAGCACTTCTTTTCATTACGTAAGTTTTCTACCATCTTAGCTAAACCAGGTAATAAAAATTTCAAACTATCAATAAATTGAAGTTGACCAACTGAGAAAGTAATATATTGTTCTGAATTATTTGCTATCAACACTATTTTTTCATCTGTCACTTTTGCTATTTCTTGCATAAGATAATGGAAATCATAACTACTTCCATTACAAATTAGCATGGGGATTTTTTATTGTTTCTGGATCGATTCGTAATTTTAAATTACATCCACTATGAGCTGGTCCTCTAAACTTTTCTGTAATATGGTTATGATCTATTACTCTATTTTTTTCCTTGTCTGGTAAATGCGTTTTGCAATACAAACATACCTTATAAGATTTATGTTTTTCTTTTTGCTCATCATCTAACTTATCTTGAAACATTAATTTTTTCCCGTGACATTTTCTATGCGAAGCACCCAAATATTTTTTGGTTTCAGGATCGAATACACAAATTTTATTATATCCAGCTTCATATAATTTTTCTTCACATATCCAATATTTGTTTGCAGTTTGATATTTTCGCCATAATTCAGGTGTCATTTTTTCACATGGAGCTATTTCACGAAGCTTATCTAAAATAACTTCTAGATCTTCTTGAAGGTTTTCCATTAAGTCTTTTATTATA